GAAAGAGAATAACCTACAACCTAGATTACTCTACCCAGCAAGGATCTCATTCAGATATGAAGGAGAACTCAAAAGCTTTACAGACAAGCAAAAGCTGAGAGAATTCAGCACCACCAAACCAGCTCTTCAACAAATATTAAAGGATCTTCTCTAGACAGGAAACACAGAAAGGTGGTATAAACGTGAACCCCAAACAACAAAATAAATGGCAACGGGACCATACCTATCAATAATTACCTTAAATGTAAATGGGTTGAATGCCCCAACCAAAAGACAAAGGCTGGCTGAATGGATAAAAAAGCAAGACCCCTATATATGCTGTCTACAAGAGACCCACCTCAAAGCAAGGGACACATACAGACTAAAAGTGAAGGGCTGGAAAAAAATATTCCACGCAAACGGAGACCAAAAGAAAGCAGGAGTCGCAATACTCATATCAGATAAAATAGACTTTCAAATAAAGGCTGTGAAAAGAGACAAAGATGGACACTACATAATGACCAAAGGATCAATCCAAGAAGAAGATATAACAATTATAAATATATATGCACCCAACATAGGAGCACCGCAATATGTAAGGCAAACGCTAACGAGTATGAAAGAGGAAATTAATAGTAACACAATAATAGTAGGAGACTTTAATACCCCACTCACAACTATGGATAGATCAACTAAACAGAAAATGAACAAGGAAGCACAAACTTTAAAGGACACAATGGACCAGCTAGACCTAATTGACATCTATAGGACGTTTCACCCCAAAACAATCAACTTCACCTTTTTCTCAAGTGCACACGGAACCTTCTCCAGAATAGATCACATCCTGGGCCATAAATCTAGTCTTGGTAAATTCAAAAAGATTGAAATCATTCCAGTCATCTTTTCTGACCACAGTGCAGTAAGATTAGATCTCAATTACAGGAAAAAAATTATTAAAAATTCAAACATATGGAGGCTAAACAACACGCTTCTGAATAACCAACAAATCATAGAAGAAATCAAAAAAGAAATCAAAATATGCATAGAAATGAATGAAAATGAAAACACAACAACCCAAAACCTATGGGACACTGTAAAGGCAGTGCTAAGGGGAAGATTCATAGCATTACAGGCCTACCTCAAGAAACAAGAAAAAAGTCAAACAAATAACCTAACTCTACACCTAAAGCAACTAGAGGAGGAAGAAATGAAGAACCCCAGGGTTAGTAGAAGGAAAGAAATCTTAAAAATCAGGGCAGAAATAAATGCAAAAGAAACTAAAGAGAGCATAGCAAAAATTAACAAAGCTAAAAGCTGGTTTTTTGAAAAAATAAACAAAATTGACAAACCATTAGCAAGACTCATTAAGAAACAAAGGGAGAAGAACCAAATTAACAAAATTAGAAACGAAAATGGAGAGATCACAACAGACAACACTGAAATACAAAGGATCATAAGAGACTACTACCAGCAGCTCTATGCCAATAAAATGGACAACTTGGAAGAAATGGACAAGTTCTTAGAGAAGTATAACTTTCTAAAACTGAACCAGGAAGAAATAGAAGATCTTAACAAACCCATCACAAGCAAGGAAATCGAAACTGTAATCAGAAATCTTCCAGCAAACAAAAGCCCAGGACCAGATGGCTTCACAGCTGAATTCTACCAAAAATTTAGAGAAGAGCTAACACCTATCTTACTCAAACTCTTCCAGAAAATTGCAGAAGAAGGTAAACTTCCAAACTCATTCTATGAGGCCACCATCACCCTAATTCCAAAACCGGACAAAGATGCCACAAAAAAAGAAAACTACAGGCCAATATCACTGATGAACATAGATGCAAAAATCCTTAACAAAATTCTAGCAAACAGAATCCAACAACATATTAAAAAAATCATACATCATGACCAAGTGGGCTTTATCCCAGGAATGCAAGGATTCTTTAATATCCGCAAATCAATCAATGTAATACATCACATTAACAAATTGAAAGATAAAAACCATATGATTATCTCAATAGATGCAGAAAAAGCCTTTGATAAAATTCAACATCCATTTATGATTAAAACTCTCCAGAAAGCAGGAATAGAAGGAACATACCTCAACATAATAAAAGCTATATATGCAAACCCACAGCAAGCATCACCCTCAATGGTGAAAAACTGAAAGCATTTCCCCTGAAATCAGGAACAAGACAAGGGTGCCCACTCTCACCACTACTATTCAACATAGTTTTGGAAGTTTTGGCCACAGCAATCAGAGCAGAAAAAGAAGTAAAAGGAATCCAGATAGGAAAAGAAGAAGTGAAACTCTCGCTGTTTGCAGATGACATGATCCTCTACATAGAAAATCCTAAAGACTCTACCAGAAAATTACTAGAGCTAATCAACGAATACAGTAAAGTTGCAGGATATAAAATTAACACACAGAAATCTCTTGCATTCCTATACACTAACAATGAGAAAACAGAAAGAGAAATTAAGGAAACAATACCATTCACCATTGCAACAAAAAGAATAAAATACTTAGGAGTACATCTACTTAAAGAAACAAAAGACCTATACATAGAAAACTATAAAACACTGATGAAAGAAATCAAAGAGGACACAAACAGATGGAGAAATATACCGTGTTCATGGATTGGAAGAATCAATATTGTCAAAATGGCTATACTACCCAAAGCAATCTACAGATTCAATGCAATCCCTATCAAACTACCAACGGTATTTTTCACAGAACTAGAACGAATAATTTCACAATTTGTATGGAAATACAAAAAACCTCGAATAGCCAAAGTAATCCTGAGAAAGAAGAATGGAACTGGAGGAATCAATCTGCCTGACTTCAGACTATACTACAAAGCCACAGTCATCAAGACAGTATGGTACTGGCACAAAGACAGAAATATAGATCAATGGAACAGAATAGAAAGCCCAGAGATAAATCCACGAACCTATGGTCACCTTATCTTTGACAAAGGAGGCAAGGATATACAATGGAAAAAAGACAACCTCTTTAACAAGTGGTGCTGGGAAAACTGGTCAACCACCTGTAAAAGAATGAAACTAGAACACTTTCTAACACCATACACAAAAATAAACTCAAGATGGATTAAAGATCTAAATGTAAGACCAGAAACTATAAAACTCCTAGAGGAGAACATAGGCAAAACACTCTCCGACATAAATCACAGCAGGATCCTCTATGACCCACATCCCAGAATTTTAGAAATAAAAACAAAAATAAACAAATGGGACCTAATGAAACTTAAAAGCTTTTGCACAACAAAGGAAACTATAAGCAAGGTGAAAAGACAGCCCTCAGATTGGGAGAAAATAATAGCAAACGAAGCAACAGACAAAGGATTAATCTCAAAAATATACAAGCAACTCCTCCAGCTCAACTCCAGAAAAATAAATGACCCAATCAAAAAATGGGCCAAAGAACTGAACAGACATTTCTCCAAGGAAGACATACAGATGGCTAACAAACACATGAAAAGATGCTCAACGTCACTCATTATCAGAGAAATGCAAATCAAAACCACAATGAGGTACCATTACACACCAGTCAGGATGGCTGCTATCCAAAAGTCTACAAGCAATAAATGCTGGAGAGGGTGTGGAGAAAAGGGAACCCTCTTACACTGTTGGTGGGAATGCAAATTAGTACAGCCACTATGGAAAACAGTGTGGAGATTTCTTAAAAAGCTAGAAATAGAACTGCCATATGACCCAGCAATCCCACTTCTGGGCATACACACCGAGGAAACCAGATCTGAAAGAGACACGTGTACCCCAGTGTTCATCGCAGCACTGTTTATAATAGCCAGGACATGGAAGCAACCTAGATGCCCATCAGCAGACGAATGGATGAGGAAGCTGTGGTACATATACACCATGGAATATTACTCAGCCATTAAAAAGAATTCATTTGAATCAGTTCTAATGAGATGGATGAAACTGGAGCCCATTATACAGAGCGAAGTAAGCCAGAAAGATAAAGACCATTACAGTATACTAACACATATATATGGAATTTAGAAAGATGGTAACGATAACCCTATGTGCAAAACAGAAAAAGAGACTCCTATGTATAGAACAGACTTGTGGACTCTGGGAGAAGGCGAGGGTGGGATGTTTCAAGAGAACAGCATTGAAACACGTATATTATCTAGGGTGAAACAGTTCACCAGCCCAGGTTGGGTGCATGAGACATGTGCTCGGGCCTGGTGCACTGGGAAGACCCAGAGGGATTGGGTGGAGAGGGAGGTGGGAGGGGGGACCGGGATGGGGAATACATGTAAAAAAAAAAAAAAAAAAAGATACACTATGGTTGTGATAAAAAATAAATAAATAAAAAAATAAATTAAAAAAAAAACAAAGATAAACACAAATGGCCAATAAGCATGTTTTGAAAACTAAAAATAAACATCTCCAATAATAGGAAAAGAGCTAAAAAAATTATAGTATATTCACATTACAGAATTTCATGAAGTCATGATTAGAAATGTGTTATATTTTATTGAGTGAAAAAAGCAAGAACAATATGGATATGATCCCATAGATAAGAACACGTACATACATATGCATATATGAAATGTACAGGAAAAAGTCTGAGAGAATGCATCCCAAACTATTCTCTTTTTAGGAAAAGCAGTAGGATTGGGCAGGGAGGTGTGGCTATGTGAAATGAGATTTTTACTTTTTACTCCATAGATTTTCTAGTGTTGTAAATCTTTTATCATGAGCATACAGTCATCTATTATGAGTGCAATTCTGAAAGAGATTTTAAAACAGCCGAAAATATATGGAAGCCACTTACAAAATTCTTGTTTTTTGACATTAGTAATAACCAAAATCAAACAGAAAAGATAAGAAAATCTCTGAATCATACAGAAGCAGATCTAGGTGACACTCTATGTTACCATACTTTGATTACTCTCTATTTTCCTTGACCTTAAGCTGTAATTTAACTTTAAGACAAAATGTGTATAATCATCATATCCTAGGCTCTAACATTAGGGGAGTTTCTCCAGGTGCAAGTAGACCCCCTTCTTGGGTTTGATGAAAATATAGGGAAGGAAGACAGGAGGCTTGGTGGGCTCTGCTGTCATCTTGAAGCGGAGCAGAATCAAGGCAGTGATCACTTTCATCTCAGCTATGGCAAAATTCTGCCCGATGCAGTTCCTGCAGACACCAACAAAAAGAGAGCCTTGAAGAACTGACACTTCTTCTGACTCTTTAATAAGATACTAGAAAAACAAGTCTGATGTTAACAATACATTTTCACATGAAATTCCATACCAATTTTTGGACTTTGGACTTACCTTGTTCCCTGAAAGAATGTGAGCTGGAAGATTCAAGTTGACACCCTTCAAGGGGGCACTTGGAGCTGCTCACAGAATTGTTCCTCCCCTCCACCCCCCCACCCACCGTGAAGTTCTAATGTATAATAAAACATGATGACCATAGTTGGTAACACACTGTATTGTAGAACTGAAATTTGCTAAGAAATAAGAACTTAAATGTGCTCTCACACACAAAAAAGGACAGGTATGTGAGCTGAAGAATATGTTAATGAACTACATGGGAAGGAATCCTCTCACAGCATATATCGAATCATCATGATGCATATTTCAAGTGTCTTCCAATTTAAGATTCTAATATAAAGATGAAATAAAAGATGAAATAACTGTTTTTCTGAAAAAGAATCATCTCATCTTTATTGGGAGTGAACCTGCATTGAACCCGTGAGCAACAGCTTGCCTTGCTGTTTAGCCTTCTGAGCCATGGCTGTATAGGATGCCATAGCAAAGGGTGTTGTTCTTCATGAAACTAATTGACCCTTTCAGTGGCTCAAACAGGCACTAAGATCTGCCTCATGGTCAGGTGAGAAGATAAGTTTCTATAGAAGAACTTATAGAGCTGGGGGGCTAAAGAGAGAAGGCTGTTCCCAAGTAAACATTTTTGTGTGTTTTTAAAAACTTCAAATAGTCCTCACCTTGGTCCAGTTGAGAATGGTAAGTAGGCATGGGAGTGTCTTTTATTATTTTCCTTGGAGAACCTCAAGGGGTCAAAGACCTGAAATGAGAGGGTAACCCCACGACCATCCCAAAACACCACCATTAACACATTTCTGAAGCTACTGCTTAGCACTGATCAACAGAAATATCCATGCACCATATATGTAGTTTCAAATGTTCTGGTATTCACATTTTTACAAGGGGTAATGAATTTTATAATATAGTTTATTTAACAGAAAATACGATCATTCCAACATGAATTCATATACATAATTACTTCAAGAAAATATTTCCTATTTTTTGTACTACAGCTGCAAAATTTTACTTTCCCAGCACGTCTCAGTTCTAACCAGCCACATTTCAAGTGCTCCACACCACATGTGGTTAATGGCTACCAAGAGCGAGATATGACTGAGTGACTGAACTGAACTGAACTAAACCCTGGACAGCACAACTCTAGACCTGCTGACCTTGTCTGGTCTCCCAGATGATTAGTCTGCTACCCAGACTAGGCAACAGGAAAGCAGAAATACCATGACTAGTGGTAGTATTTTCACTTTGAAGGTACGAGTGCATCTACTTAGAAGTCAAGCCAAGATGACCTACGTGATCAGTTGTCCAACTTCCCATTACACATAACACGTTTGAAACTAGCAGCATATAAAAAAGGAAGCATCTGCACACATTGTGTTTAGAGTTTCAAGAGACTCAGGTATGCTACAAAACTTCTTTTTGCCTCTTCAGATCCTTTCTCCTCCCTTTCCCACCTTGCTCTGGGTTCCAAACTGATCCATGGGGTTTCCTGTTGGGTTTAACCAATAAAAGGCATTGAAAGGAAATCTGGAGAGTGGGACAGTCATACCTGTGGGTTTTCCCAGACAGCAGGGTTGTGGTGGAGACCCCAGATACTGAGAACCACTGTCATCCCTGAGAAAGGAAGGAAATAAAAGAGATTGCAGAAAAAAGAGCAAGTTGTAAGCTCCTTTTATACAGCTCTTCAGTAACACTTTTCTTTTTGAAGGGAAAGACTTAGTTCCTGACAGAGTTCTGTGGGCTGTGATAGCTGATGCCAGCAGTGAAGGACCCATAAAAAGATGGGGTTCGGTGGCATCTTAGTTTTCAAATCAATGATCTATTTAATACCTGATTCTATTGTAAGGCGCTCTTGGTATCATGTCAAAATGATAGCCTGTGTTTATGTTTTCCGCTATCCCTAGAAATTTTTTATATATTTATGGACTATAAAGTATCCAGACACAACAGCTTAGGTACATTTAGGAACAAGATTGTACCTCCACTGTGCAGATCCAATGACAAGTTTCTGCTGGTGCAGGTCATACAATGGAAGTAGGGAATTTTGGCAAATGTTCATGTACTATGAGGATTTTAAAAAAGACAGAAGAAACAAAAATAAAATTTAAAAAACAAAAAAGGAAAAAAGACAGAGGTGAGATAATTTGAGGATTATTTGGTTATCAGAAATAATTTTGGTAAAGTAATTCTAGATCTGTCAACAAAGGGACAGTAAGTGACAGGTTGTTGGTACTGATACAAGCAATCCTGTTGGCTTGATCCTAAGGGCAAGAGTTAATTGAACACTGAAACAGATTAAGTGGAGGGTGTCTCATGTGATCTCTCTTGCCCTGCTCAGATACTTGTGTTGTTCTGAAGAGCATTAGGCTCCAGATGTGGAACCTCTGAGCAAGTTCTAGCTCTGCTCAATGCACTTTGGGATCCCCCAGTGGGTTTTTGGCTATACCAAAAACATCTGAATGTGCTCTGTAAACTGCAAAACACATATAAGCGTCTGCTAAGAGCATGTTCCAAGGTGAAAAAGATGAGATAATCTATTTGAAGGCTCTATGTAAACTTTTAAGTGCTGCATACTTACTAGGATAATATTACTATGATGATGAAGACAAAGACCCTCTCCGGGTCTTCTAGATAAAGATAAAAGTGTTCACTTCCCATGAAGTCTTGCCTGGTCTCAAATGCAGCCAAGCCAGGATTAGCTTAGAAACAAATAATAGAAGAAACCCTGAGTTGGGATTTTGGTGATAAAAGTTCTGTTCATAGCTTTGTTTCAAATGACTATGTGCCTTTAGGAAAGTCTCAGAAACCCACATCTGGTCAAGGCATTACCCACTGAGAACTTAACAGGTGTCTAACCCTAAGCCAGCTCTCCTGAGGTTTGTCTTTTGACTCTTCCAAGAGTTGAGAATCCCTCTGGTCTTTTTCACTGTGGTCCCCAGGAGTCAGTGGTCTTTAGAAACTGCTTAGGAAAAGAATGCAAAGACCTGCAGGCAAAGAGCGTCCATCTGGAAAGGTCATGGGCTTGGCGAGTTCTCTGGAAATGGACATAGATGGGGGTGACAAGCGGAGTGACTCCTTAATGCACATTGTGGTGTATGACATCTCACTCAGTTGGTCCCTGTGAGTAAAAAGAGGGAACACAGGGAACTCAGACTCCATATTCAGTTTGTAAATACTGACATATTTTTCTATTCAACCTTTGCTCCTGGTCAAAGTTCTTTTACCTATTGGTTTATGTAACAGAATGTTAAAAAGGAACACTTTCTGCCTCAGGATCAGCTGAGGTCCCAGAGGACAAGGAACAACACAGGTGCTACACATCCTCACCATGAATGTGGAGAAAAGAGAGGGAATCTCCTACACTGATGGTGGGAATGCAAACTGGCATAGCCACTGTGGCAAACAGTATGGAGGTTCCTCAAAGAACTGAAAACAGAGCTACCATATGATCTTGCAATCTCACTCCTGGGTATATATCTGGAGAAAACTCTTATTTGAAAAGATATATCCAATGTTCATAGCAGCATTATTGACAAGAGCCAAGATATGGAAGCAACCTAAATATCCATCAACAGATGAATGGATAAAGAAGATGTGCTATATATACACACAATGGAAAACCACTCAGTCATAAAAAGAATGAAACAATGTCATTTGCAGCAACATAGATGGATCTAGAGATTATCATGCTCAGTGAAGTAAGTCAGAAAGAGAAAGACAAATATATGATATTGTTTACATGTGAAATTTAAAATGTGATATAAATGAACTTATTTGCAAAACAGAAACAGACTCACAGTCAAAGAAAACAAATTTATGACTGTGTGTACTAAGTAGCTTCAGTCGTGTCCCATTCTTTGCGACCCTATGGACTGTGACCCAACAGGCTCCTCTGTCCAAGGGATTCTCCAGGCAAGAACACTGGAGTGGGTTGCTGTGCCCACCTCCATGGCATTTTCCTGACACAGGGATCAAACCTGCGTCTCTTTACTTCTTTTGCACTGGCAGGTGGGTTCTTTACCACTAGCACCATCAAAGAAAACAAAGTTACGGTTACCACAGGGGTTAAGTGAGGGGAAGAATATTAAAAAGTAAAGTCACTTTGTTGTACACCAGAAACTAACACAACATTATAAATTAACTCTACTTGGAAAAAACCCCAAATATCTTCACAATAAAGTGAAGCACTAAACTACTGGTAAAGGATTTGCTGAGAAGATTTCTGAAAATGTTTTGCAACACTTAGCTCATCATATAAATCAAGGAATGGCTAAGGAATAAAGAGAGGAGGCCTCCAAGTTTTGAGAGGGAAAAAAGATCCTTCCAAAGAACTGCTGGAATGCTGGAGTGCTGTGGAGAATGCTGGAGGGGGGTTCCCTTCATATTTAGCAAAGAGGGGATTAAAGAGGATAACAGTAGATGCTCTGACATGTGCTCCTTAGAGGCTGGGAAGAACAGAACTAATAGGAAAGGCCATGACTCACAACAGACAGAGAGGCAGGGAAAGGAGCAGGGACAAAGCAATAACCCTATAGTGAGTCCTATGGGCCAGTGAACCAGCAAGAAGGAGAGCTTCTAAACCAGCTTGAAGGACACTCTAAGGACAAGAATTTCTGTGTCTCGTGAATCATCATCATAAAGTCCCAGTGAGAGAATCTCTAAAAACCTCACTGAGAGTTAAAGGAAGCACCAAGTTTAAAGGGCAAGATGGCAACAGTACCAGCTGCCTTCTCCTCATCCTTTCTCCCTCCTAGGACCATTTCTAGAAGGGTCAGTGAGCAGAAGCCAACCACAACCCCCTCTTTATTTCCTTGGGCTACAAAATCACTGCCGAGGGTGACTGCAGCCATGAAATTAAAAGACTCTTGCTCCTTGGAAGAAAAGTTATGATCAACGGAGACAGCATATTAAAAAGCAGAGACATTACTTTGCCGACAAAGGTCTGTCTAGTCAAAGCTATGGTTTTTCCAATAGTCATGTATGGATGTGAGAGTAGGACTGTAAAGAAAGCTGAGTGCTGAAGAATTGACGCTTTTGAACTATGATGTTGGAGAAGACTCTTAAGAGTCTCTTGGACTGCAAGGAGATCCAACCAGCCCACCCTAAAGGAAGTCAGTCTTGAATATTCATTGGAAGGACTGATGCTGAAGCTGAAACTCCAATACTCTGGCCACCTGATGCGAAGAACTGACTTATTGGAAAAGACCCTGATGCTGGGAAAGATGGAAGTCAGGAGGAGAAGGGAATGACAGAGGATGAGATGGTTGGATGGCATCACTGACTCGATGGACATGAGTTTGAGCAAGCTCTGGGAATTGGTGATGGACAGGGAGGCCTGGTGTGCTGCAATCCATGGAGTCACAAAGAGTCAGACATGACTAAGCAACTGAACTGAATTGAACTGACTGACAACTGCTTCACCCACCTCTGGCTTCCAGACCCAGAGAAGTACTGAGCTGAAATAGATGGAGATGCTCCAAGTGGATAACAATTTGAAGTTTTTATTATTACACTGGACCAGACAGCTTAATCATTGAAATGAGACTGCTCTTGTGATTTAAATGGATGGGAACACTATGAGATTCACTCACAGTTTCACCCCAGTGATGAAAAGTACTTGCTCACACAAGTTTGAAGTATCAGTGGGAGAAGAGTAAATTTTTTATTTGATCATAGATAGTCAGGTTGGTTCAGTAAAATGACAGTGTATATTTGGTCTTTTTGCTTCAGGTGTTTTTATTTATTTCTCTGATTATTTATTTTGAATGCAGGCTTTGGCCATTAATTAATGTGAAATTTTAATTTTGAACTCTTTCCTCTTCGAGCTCAGAATAAGAAGAGGAATTCTGCTTAACCTAGCACTTTTCATACTTAAGAAAAATAATGTTGTCCATCTCAGCCCGGGTGCAAAAAGATGAGAGGCCTTTTAACCCAATGCAGAAATAGGTTGACGAGCAGGCAAATGGAGATGCTGAACAACTTTCTAACTTTTTTAGAAATTTGCTCTTTGCAGTGTGGTTTTATTAGAATTATAAATTTTTGGACTGTTCTGTACAAATTTCATTAAATGTAATGAAAGGCCATTTTTTATTCTCTATAATATGGTTGCCATTTCTCTCATTAAAATAAATGGTAGCAAACAGATCCTCTGGAGTTTGTTTTATCACCTGGCAAAGATTTCCTTATAGTTTTCACATTTCACATAGGCCAAACAAGAATAAGAAGGCCAATATTTGAGTTGTGTATATACATCTACCCTAATTGAGGTTAAAATATCTGATTAATATTTGGAAGTGATATACACTGCTTCTAAATTCAGTGAGTGAATAAAAACTTATTAGTCAACACTGCATCTGGTGCTATGTAGATTAGACCTTTGACTTATGTTAGGAAATGACTAGTATTTCATTATAAAAAGTGAGATTTCTGCTATACCTATATAAATTCATATTTTCCTTTACAAATGTTCTAATTGAGCTAACTTTTGCATTTGAAACATGGTGTTTTCCCTCTAGTCACTGGGTTGGGTTGTTAGCATCTCTTTCTTTGACCAACAAAACAAATACAATGGCTGCATTTTCCTGGCAAACAGTATGTCTGAGGAGCAAATCTGTAACCTGGGCTTCACTAACAGAAAGATGTGCTCAAAGTCTAGCCAAATGGAGTTGAAGTTTTCCACCTGACTAACTCCTACCCACAGTGTAAGAGGCAGCTTAAATGTCCGATCTCCCAATAAGTCTTCCTGAGCCTCCCATGCCAGATTAGGTTCTGGTCTTCTAAATCTCTGTGGTCACTAATGTGAATCTCTCTCCTTACCCTCACCATGTTATACTGCGATCAACTATATGGGGACCAGACTTTCCTGGTGGTGCTGTGGATAAGCATCTACCTGCTAACGCAGGGGACGCAGGTTTGATCCCTGGTTTAGGAAGATTCCATATGCCATGGATATGGAAGATTTCATAAGCCCATGTGTGTCACAACGACTGAGCTAGTGCTCTAGATCCTGCTAGCAGCAACTACTGAAGTCAGTGCAGCGCAATGAAGAGTAGCCCCTGCTCGCTTCTATAGAAAGTCTGTGAATAGCAAAGAAGACCTAGCGTAGCCAAAAAGAAATAAATAAATATTAAAAAATATATACATATATATGGGGACCAGTCTTCTGTACTAGAATATGAGCTCATTGAGGGCAGAACCCACATCAAATCTGGCACCTTTTTATAGTGCCTCAGTACCTAAAGCTTCCCTGGTGGCTCAGCTGGTAAAGAATCTGCCTGCAATGTGGGAGACCTGAGTTCGATCGCTGGGCTGGGAAGATCCCATGGAGAAGAGAATAGCTACCCACAGTATTCTGGCCTGTATAGTCCATGGGGTCACAAAGAGCTGGACACGACTGAGTGACTTTCAGTTGCACTTTCAGCACTTAAATGGTACACACTGTACTTGAGTTTGGCAAATATGGACTGAGAATGTTTATTGTTTTGTTCTAAGTCCAAAGTCCATCCTGAGAAGTGAACAAGGGGATGGGAGAGACCGTCTCAATGAGGCTTAGAAATACAGATGTTCTCTCAGGTCTTTCAGAAACACAGCCTCACTTGAGTCCTACCATTCAAGCTGTGGATGCAAATCTAGGGAGATCATATCCCTATTTCCAAAGCACCAGGGCCTGAGAGAAAGAGAAATAGGACCTTTTACACACACTGACTAAAAAACAATGAAATAGAAAACTTACGGATAAGTGAGTATAAAAGAAAAAGGGATAATTTTGGGCCCTCTAGAAAAACAGAACAATAGTAGCCTGCCTCTTCTACATACATATGTATGTATGTATATGAAACACTATGATCACCAAGAGGAAAGAATAAACCAGAATCCCAGGAGGAAAACAAGGAGGAAATGTTTATGGATGCAGATCTTACCAGGTAATGGAAGACCCATCCCCCAGGATGGCTCTGATCTCCTCCCGGCATCTCTCCTGATGCTCCGGGTGCCGAGCTAGCTGGTAGAGGAGGCAGGAAATGCCTGCTGATACAGAGTCATGCCCTGCCAACATGAATGTGTTCACCTCAGACCGTACGTCTAAATCTGTGAAGCTATCATTTTCAGCCTAGAAAGAATAGTGGAGATATTTTTATGCAGTGTCAGTTTACAGATGTTTGAAGCCCCAATCAAAATAATGGTTTCAGGGGAAAAAACTGGCTATCAAATAAGAGTTTTCATTTTTATTCAGTTTAACAAATATATACTTTGAGTCATGCTTTGTCCAGAGAGCATAAAGGAGAACCAAAGACAGATAAGAAAAGCAGGCCCTGCAGTGAGTTCCTGCAATCATTTTGTCAGATTTATCCAGACTTTTCAGCATCTCTTCCTCATTGTTTTATCAGCTTAACCTGTGATTCACTTTCCCATGTTTCCCTGAATTACCATGTATCTTTATGATAATCACCAAATCCTGCTGACTTTGTAAAAAATTTAGTCTTATCTGACTCCCTCTAGTGACAGAATTGTAGAATTCAGTTTTTTAATCTCAAACTGTACAGCACCAACCATCAGTTCAAAAGTACTGTTAAATTTAGTTGATCAATTTTGCTTTTGTCTTCCATCCTCCCACTCATCTAACTACCCACACAATTAACTAGATACATAAGTAGGCTCAGAATTTGAAAGATTTTGGTTTTTGTCTTCCATCCTCCCTCTCATCTAACTATCCATGCAATTAACTAGATACATGAGTAGGCTCAGAATTTGAAAGACTTACCTGAGCAGAAAGGACAATATCCAGGAAGTCCCGGTACTTCCTCTTCTGGGTGTTAGCCTGCTTATTCTCATCCTTGGGAGAATTCTTTCTATCCTTGATTAGCCTGTCTAGGGTAGAATAAATATTCCCCATTGCCAAAGTGACAGAAAAGTCAATCAAAGTAAACTAAATCACAGAACAAGCCATGACCCCCCAGATAGTTTCAAATCTTGCCTAATTTCCTGAAGTTAGAGTGAGTACATTAATTTAAATAGATTTAATTTATGCATGGGGGCTTCCTTGGTGGCTCAGATGTTAAAGAATCCACCTGCAATGCAGGAGACCCAGGTCAGATCCCTGGGTCAGGAAGATCCCCCCTAGAGAAGGGAACGGCTACCCACTCCAGTATTCTTGCCTGGAGAATCCCATAGAGGAGCCTGGTGGGCTACAGTCCATGGGGTCACAAAGAGTCAGACATGACTGAGTAATACTTAATTTATGCAGATGTGTATTTTACCATCAAATGACAACTTTTGTTCAAAGTTCCAAAGACAAACACAACAGACAAAAATACTTTATATAACTAAGTAGGCAATATAATTAAAATAATAAAAAAAATGTAGGTGCAAGTAACCAATCATTCTTTTCTTTCTCAGTCTAATTTTTCATTTTCATGGAAAAATTATCACATGAAATGGAATGAAAGAAAAAGACCAGCAAAGAAATGCCAACCTATATATAACTGAAAGGGCTGAAAGGAAAAAAAATATGGAACAGAATGTTTAAAATTATAATCCAAGAAAACTTTCTGGGAATAAGAGAAAAATTAAATCTACATATTAAAGGATTCATATTATGCCTGGAAAAATTGGAACAGAATAACCAATTCCAATATATATATATATGTCCTAATAAAACTACTTGACATTAAAGGCAAAGAAAAGGAAATTCTCAGAGATTCTAGACAAAATATCAAATGGCTTTTAATGATGACAAATTAAGCTAGCATCATACTTCTCAAGAACAATAAGAAAAACCAAGACAAGGTTAGAGTATTTAGGAAACACTCAAGGAAACAAAGTGTGAGGCAAAATTTTTATCCAGGAAAACTATCCTTCATGTATCAAGTCTACCAAAGAACTGTTAGAAACTTATATGAACTCAGAAAATGCTTTGCTCATGAAGCCCATCTTGAGGAATCTATAGGGGATGAGTTTCATCCAACCAAGAAATTACTGGAAAAACTTTATTAAAATAACTGAGGTGGGCCTTTCAAAGATTTAATTCTAGATATCAGAATAAAATAAGGATAAAGATGTGGACAAAAGAGTAACACATAAGCATTAAAAGTGAAAATAATGCTACTAAAAATAAGAGGAGTAAGGAGGGAAAAAGCTGGCTTAAAACTCAACATCCAAAAAACTAAGATCATGGCATCTGGTCCCATCACTTCATGGCAAACAGATGGGGAAATAATGGAAACAGTGGCAGACTTTATTTTCTTGAGCTCCAAAATCAATGCAGATGGTGACCGCAGCCATGAAATTGAACGACAGTTGTTCCTTGGAAGAAAAGCTATGACAAACCTAGACAGCGTGTTAAAAAGCAGAGACGTTACTTTGCCAACAAAGGCCTGTATGGTCAAAGCAATGGTTTTTCCAGTAGTCATGTGAGAATTGGACCATAAACAAGGCTGAGTGCCAAGGAATTGGTACTTTTCAACTGTGGTGTTGGAGAAGACTCTTGAGAGTCCCTTGGACTGCACAGAAATCAAACTATTCAATCCTAAAGGAAATCAATCCTGAATATTCACTGGAAGGACTGATGCTGAAGCTGAAGCTCCAATACTTTGGCCACCTGATGTGAAGAGCCAACTCATTAGAAAAGACCCTGATGCTAGGAAAGACTGAAGGCAAGAGGAGAAGGGATGACAGAGGACAAGATGGTTTGATGGCATCACCGACTCAAAGCACATGAGTTTGAGCAAGTTCAGGGACATAGTGAAGGACAGGGAAGCCTGGCGTACTGGAGTCCTTGGAGTCCATGTGTAAGAATCGGACATGACTGAGTGACGGAACAACAAATATCAACAATCACTTTAAACATCAATGGTTTACTACACCAATTAAAAGACAAAGAAGGTCAGAATGCACCTAAAAAACAAGACCCAACTGTATGTTGTCTATAAGCCCACCTTAAATACATAAAGATACACATAGATTAAAAGTAAAAGGATAGAGAAAGATATACCATGCTAACTAATCAAAAGAAAGCTGGAGAAGCAATATTAGCTTCAAACAGAAGAGATTTCAGAGAAAAGAAAATATTAGGGATAAATAAGAGCATTACATAATGATAAAAGGGTCAATTATCCAAGAAGACAATGATCTTTAATGTGCATGTGCCTAACAAAGAGTCTCAAAATGCATGAGGCAAAAAGTAATAGGACTCAAGAAGAAATAAATAAATCTACTATTATAGTTGGAGACTTCAATTTCCCTCTATCATAATGGACAGATCCAGCAGGTAGAAAACAAGCAAGGATATAGTTGAACTGAACAATATCATCAATCAACTGGATCTATTTGACAACTATAGAATATCTCATTCAACATGAGAACACTGACCAACATAGACCATATTTGGGGCCATAAACCATAATCTAGACTTTAAAAAAATAGAACTCATAGGATGTATGCTTTCAAACCACAGTGAAATAGAAATCAGTAATGGAAAGATAATGGGAAAACTCCAAATTATTTGGCAAGTAAACCACACACTTCTAAATAACACATGAGTCATAGAAGTAGTCTCAAGAGAAACTTAAAAAATATTTTGAATTAATGAAAATTCAAATACAACTAATCAAAATTGTGAGATGCAGTGAAAGCAGTGCTTAAAGGGAAATGTATAGCATTAAAAGAACTATCAGAAAAGAAGAAAGATCTAAAATCAATAATCTAAGCTTCTCCCTTGGGAAACAAAAAAAGAAGAAAAAAATTAAGTCCGAATTAACTAAAGGAAAAGAAATAATAAAAATCTGAGTAGAAAGCAATAAAGTTGAAATAAGAAATAAAGAGACAAAATCAATGAAAACAAAAGTTGGTTCTTAGAAAAGATTTATAAAGTTGATAAATCTCTAGCCAGGTTAATGAAAGAAAAGAGAAAAGATAAAATTGCTACTATTAGATATAAGAGGAGCCATCACTTCTGATCCTATGGATATTAAAAAGAGAATAAAGAAATATTATGAAAAACTCCATGCTTACAAATTGATAACCTGGTTGAAATGGGTCAATTTCCTGAAAGACACAATCTACCAAAAGTCAAAAGAGAAATAGCTAATCTGAATAGACCTTTGTCTATAAAACAGTTTGAGTCAGTAATTAATAACCTTCCAAACCAGAACAGACCAGACCTAGTTGATTTCCTTGGTGATTTCTACCAAACATTTAGGAAAGAAATCCTGCCAATTCTCTACAATCTCTCCCAGAAACATAGAAGCAGAGGGAGTACTTCCTGACTTATTTTATGACACCAGCCATTATTCTCACTCCTAAACTGAGACAGGCCTGGGAACTGGGACCCTTTGCTGCAGGGCTGAAAAGCTTGTATCTGGACACATCTTTTCTTAAGCTACTATATATGAAGAAACTATATGGGACTAAAAATTATTGTGTGCATGTGCAGTTAGGGCAAACTCTGAACCAAAAGATATAAAAAAGAAAAAACAAAACCAAAACCCATCTGCCGTTTCTGAAGGACCTGGAGCAAAAACTGGGTGTCAGGAGAAAAAGCAGGGTGCTCTGCAGGGCCCCCTGCACTCAACAACACAAAGGATGGGCAAACCACCTAAACTACCCTTCCAGCCAGACCTCTGGACACACTCCTGTCGTCACCCCATGTAAGAAACAAGCTCAGCCACCCGCCTTGGGGACCAAGAAAGGGAGCTTGTCACTTGTTTCTGCTCCCTCCGGGAGCCCCAGTGCAGACTTGACTGAATTTCTTGTCTGGCTTCTAGTCAATTTCTATTGCTTGGGGAAGACCAAGAACCCCAGTGGGTATTAAAACCAAATAAAGACATTACAATAAAGGGAACATTTTGGAGGATAATTTGGTGGATTCTTACAAAACTAAACTTATCCTTACCATTCCATCTCTAATCATCCTCCTTGGTATTTACCCAAAGGAGCTGAAAACTTAAGTTCACACAAAAACCTGTGCACAAATGTTTATAGAAGCTTTATTCAAAATTGTCGAAACTTTGCTTTTTGTAAGCAACTAAGATGTCCTTTAATAGGTAAACAAACTGTGATACACTCATAAGTGAAAGTGAAAGTTGCTCAGTCGTGTCCAACTCTTTGCGACCCCATGGACTTTACAGTCCATGGAATTCTCCAGGCCAGAATACTGGAGTGTGTAGCCCTTCCCTTCTCCAGGGATCTTCCCAACCCAAGGATCGAACCCAGGTCTCTCGCATTACAGGTGGATTCTGTACCAGCTGAGCCACAAGGGAAGCCCTCACACAATAAAATATAATTGAACAATAAAAATAAATGCACTATCAAGCCATGAAAATACATGGAAGAACTTTAAATGCATACTGCTAAGTGAAAGAAACCAATCTAAAAAGGTTACATACAGTGTGATGCCAGTTAATGACATGAAAGAGGCTAAACTATAGAGACAGTAAAAAAATTAGTGGTTGCCAGGGGTGTGGCACAAAGGAAAGAGGGCTAAGTAGGTGGAGCACAGGGGAATTTTAAGGGCAGTGAAACTCTGCTGTATGATACTGTAATGGTGGAAACATATCATTACATATTTGTCAAAATCCAGAGAGTGTACACATAAACAGTGAACCCTAAACTATGGACTTTAGTTAATAATAATGGGCTCAAGAGGGCTTCCCTGGTGGCCCAGTGGTTAAGAATCTGCCTTGCAACACAGGGGACACCACTGGTCCAGAAAAACCCCACATGCCAGAGGCCAGCTAAGCCCATGTGCCACAACCACTGGCCCTGTGCTCTGGAGACCACTAGCCACAACTACAGAGCCTGAGTGCCGCAACTACTGAAGCCCATGTGCCTAGACCTTGTGCTTTTCAACCAGAGAAGCCACTGCAATGAGAAGCCCACGGAGCACAAAGTAGAGAGTAGCTCCTGCTGGCCACAACCAGAGAAAGCCCATGTGTAGCCGTGAAGACTCAGCGCAGCCAAAAATAAATAAATAAAATAAATAAATATGTATGTAAAATAATAATGGCTCACCGGTTATAAGAAATACACCATGGTTATGCAAGATGTTAATGAGGGAAAGTGTGGATATAGGGGGCGGTGAAGAAGTAGCAATATATGGGAACTCTGTGCTTTCTGCTCAATTTTTCTATAAGCCTAAAACCCCCTGAAAAATACCTTATTAATTAAAAAAACATACTACAAAGTCTCTTTAATTGAGTCAGTGTGATTTAGCACACAAATAGATAGACCAACGGATAGAAAAGAAAGTGAAGAAATAGGTCCAAGTACATATGAAGAAATAGGTCCAAGTACATTAGAATATGATAAAAGTGGTTACCTCAAACTGACTGGAAAAGATGGAACTTTTTAATAAATGGACATGGGACAAGTGGATAATCATTTGGAAATATTAGAGCAACTCTGTCAAGAGTCCTACTATCATCAAGTGGGTATATGTCAGGGATGCAGCTAAACATCCTACAATGCACTGGACAGTGTCTCACTGTCTGGATAACAAAGACTTAGCTAGCCCCAAATGTCATTAGTGCCATAGTTGAGGTGTTCTGGAATAGGGGAAGGCTTTTGACTATCACTCAAAATCTAGATGCAGTAAAAGAAAATATGAATAAATTTGACTAATTGAAAAATTTGAAATTTGAAGTTTTAATTTTTGACCAGTTTAACATTTAATTTCCCCCTAATGTTCTGCATTTTGTTTTTTCATCATAATTATGCAATAGCAAGAGAACGTGAATAATTTTTTTTCACTAAGTTCTGTGTAGATGCCTCCAAATCCACTCCTGTTTCCTCCAATATTTAAATATTAATATTTTTGGTGTGGGCCATGATACAAACAAGTTTGATAACTACTGCTATAAAGAAAGCCCATTTGTATATTAGGTGATTTCTAATCTGCTTATCCATATGTCCTTATAATATCTATATTTGTGTGAGTCCATATGTATGCATGTGTAGGTGTGTGTTGCAAGTTTCTTGGAACAAATATATTTTATATTTAACATATATTCAGTTCCAGGCACTGTCTTAAGTGCTTTACATATATTAACATATTTAATCATCATCACAAAACAATGAGATAGGTTTTTTTTTAATCTTCATTTTACAGATAACCCTGAGACAGAGCAGTAACTTGCCCAAAGTCATACTGCTACTCAGTGGTGGAGCTGAGGAAGGATTAATTAATGGCCTGATAAATATTCTCTATTTTGGTGTTCATGAAAAGTAGTGTTGAATTGCTTAAAAACTTCATCAATTTCAACTTTTATGTTTATGTTTTGCTAAAACTATTTATTTTCAAATGAAGCTTCTTTTATTTTATTTTTTTATTGGGGTAAGAATGCTTAACAAGATCTACCTACTTTAAGTGCACAATATTGTTCACTATAGATACTAAGCTTTACAGCAGATCTTTAGAACTTATTCATCTTGCATAACTACTTTATACCCATTGGACAGTCCCCCAGGGGGGGTCCTTTTTTGGATGTACATCCATGTTTGCTCTGTTCCTCCGTTTATTCCTGTTGCCTGAATATTTTTAGCCTGTCATTACTATGACAATCACTATGCAAAAAGCCATGCCATGTATGCTATAAAATGTTAAGTGCCCACTTGCTATGTTACCTTTGCATTAATATAAACTGCATATAATAAAGATGATGTAATATATAGAAAGGGCTTCTCTTGTGGCTGGTAAAGAATCCGGCCACAAAGTGGGAGACCTGGGTTCAGTCCCTGAGTTGGGAAGATCACCTGGAGAAAGGAAAGGCTACCCACTCCAGTATTCTGGCCTGGAGAATCCATGGACTGTATAGTCCGTGAAGTCGCAAACAGTCGGACACACTGAGTGACTTTCACTTTCATCTATGTAGAAAAATTCAGATAAGACTATTACTGTGGATGTAGCAAACTCTTGTACACAAATTGTTTCATTTGAGCAGTGTTCCTATAAAAGCTCCATTAAGACAAGAATTCTTTCTCTTTTCACACTGAGAACTGTTCCTCTAGAGAGACACAATACAACTATGACAGTATATGGACTTGGACAATCCAAACTCAAGAAATACCTGTATACTGATGCAACATCTTGTTTATCTTCCGCATGCGGTGGCCCAGAGGGCTTAATTTGAAAATTAGGTCATAGTGATAGAAGAAATTGTACACGCGATGCATAAGGATATTGCTGCCTTCACCTGTTGCTTTTACATAATCTTCATGGGAGCTAGAAGAGAGAGTGGGGAAAATATGTCAGTAAATGACTTAGATAATGCAAACGAGGCTTTATTTTTCCCCTTCCTGTAACTGACCCGTCTGTTTGGCAGTTGGTTTCCCAGCTGAAAATACATTTCATGAGTACGTCCAGGGTCATCAAGTCGATGTGCTCATAGATATCCATAAGTGTATCCTGAGAGCCACAAATCTTCTCCCACTTATCCTGGCACAGGAAGTCAAGGTCAACATCATCATCATCATCAAAAAGCTTTTATCTGAAGGCTCCTCCCTGACACTTCTCTTACCATGTGACAGAGACAATTCTGACTTAGCAGGGGTCGAAGGGCATATAGGTAAATGTTAACCTGAAATAGCTGCCCCTTATTTCACCAGTAAAATGGGTTTATTAAGGCACAGCAAAAAATTGAAATTCAGGACATGCAATCATGGTGCGTGCATGCTCAGTTATGTCCAACTCTTTGTGACCCCATGGGCTGTAGCCCACCAGGCTCCTCTGTCCATGAGATTTCCCATGCAAGAATACTGGAGTGGGTTGCCATTTCCTCCTCCAGGGGATCTTCCTGACTTCAGGGATCAAACCCACGTCTCCTGCATCTCTTGCACTGCAGGTGGATTCTTCACCATTGAGTCACCTGGGCAAGTCAGGAGAACAAAGGACAGGAACAGTTATAGAGGAGAAGGGGGAGTTGGGGGGAGCTGTTATAAACAAAGAGTCCATTGAAGGAAACTGGGAAATTAGAGTGCAGTGGTTTTTCATTGTCCAAGTTGTGATAGTCTCATTAACCAGGCTGTTGCGGGTAAGGAGAAATTCTTTTCTTTTGCTGGAGAACAAAGTAGTAGCCTTCTTCCTGTTGGACATGCAAAGTTAGGTTTCTTCCGATTGGGTCTGCAATTGACCTCTAGTGGTAGGATGTGAGAGCTCCCCTTTCTGGCTTCCTGACTCCATTTTAAATGAGATTTCTGTTTACTAATTTTCACATAAATAAGCCAAGTGCTTACTTGGCATGAGGAAGGGAAAAATGCACCCAACCAAATGAGAAAAAGCATGGAACAAACCAGGTATCTGGTAAATGGCTGAGGTAAGTATCTTTGGCCTTCCAATTATTATCACAACTCTTGTTTTAGAACAGATCAGGGTTCCAGTAAAACAGATAATCTCACACAAGACCCATAATTACAAGGGTTCTCCCCAGGGCTTCCTCCTTCTTCAGTCCCCAGATTGCTAGATACCCCACCTATCACTACTCTCAACCATTATAGCTACACTTAAAAATAAACTTGGAATTAAAAATAATTTTTTTGGACTTAGAAGTGGGGAACAGAGGTAAGCAGTGAATAGGAGCAGCTGCTGGGAAGTGGCTCTCAGCCAAGCACTGCCTGTGTTCACTCTACTTCTGCCCCCAAATGACCCACTTCCACTACCCAAGATGTTTTATGGCTTAAACTGTCTCAAAGTTACCAGCTGAAAATGTATTCATCATAATAAGCATTCTTTGCGTAAAAAATACAAATAAATCTACATGTTTTAAGTTTAGATCAAGCTCTATTTGTTGAGCACCCATGCCTACATCTGGGTGCTAAGGATTTGGAGGCCACAGAAAAAAAGGCAAAGAAATTAAAAAAATCTTTTACCCAAGTGTCAATTGTTTAGTCAGTTGCTTTCATCCTGAGGGCTTCCCAGGTGGCACTAGTGGTAAAGAATCCACCTGCCAATGCAGGAGACGCAAGAGACACGGGCTTGATCCCTGGGGTGGGAAGACTCACTGGCGACCCATTCCAGAATTCTTACCTGGAAAAGTCCATGGACAGAGAAGCCTGGAGGGCTACAGTCCAGGGGGCTGTAAAGAGTCGGACATGACTGAGGATTATGTAAGTTTTACTGAGTACAAAAAGTGAGTTTGCTAATACAATATTGTTCATCAATTATATTTCAATGAGAATTCTATAAAAATAAATAAAATAAAATGAAAGCTACAGGAATACCAAAAAAAGGGAGTCTAGAAGAAATAAGAACAAAAGAGGCTCTCCGGAGATACTTTGCAACAATTCAGCAGAGGAGGGGCTGTAAGAGGAGTCTTGGGGAAATATGCAACTGAGAAGCAAGAAAGATAGAAATGGTTCATCAAATGGTTGATAAACTCAAATATCACCACAGGATGATTTGCAATTGTGCATAAAACTGCACAGCACCAGACTTGGAAAGCATGCCCCCTTCCTCTCTAGCCTGTACTTCTAGGTTTCTGCCTTGAGAAAGCACAATGGACATTTTCATCACAATCCCAGTCAATTTCAGGTTAAATCTGCTTTTATGAGTTTGGCTGAGGACCCAGCCAACCAGGTAGCAACAGTGGTTCTCTTTTGGGAAAGGGATGGGTTTGCAGATGTAGGTGGAGCGCAACTTTGGCTCTGTTTGTGATGTTTGAAGTGTTATGATGAAACTGTATTAATGAATTACTTGTCTTATTTTCAAGTGTGTACAATTTAAAAATCAAAAATATGCCATGTACACGGGGAATTTTGGAATAGAACTTATTTATAAATCAGGGACCACCCACAGGAATAATCTGCAACATCCTTCTGCCCCTTTGGAAGAGCACAGGTCGGCTCCTAATGATACTCCACTACCTGCAAGAGGAAACTCACATCTGCGGCTTCAATGTAGACACATTCTTTCTAGGTCCTTTACGACCTTCAGGCAAGTCTATTCCAACCTTCCAACTTTAACTCCTGCTAACTCATTGTGCCTAAAATGCCCTCATCCATGTTATCCACATGTTCAAGTCCAGCTCATATTTCATAGTAAATTTGAGTCTCCTCTGAATCTGAAGCTAATATAGCTGCTTCTAGTTTCCTTATTTGTCACCACAGCACTTATCATCTGAATCTTACCACTTGGTACTTGGTTTACTGCCATAACATCTCAAAATATACCTAAGATGGATGACCAGATCTTAATCTTCTTTTATCATCCAAAGAGCAACAGCAAAGACTTAAACGACACTCATTGCTCGGTGGGTACTTGTACACTAGCTAATTTCTAGAAATCATCCCCATTTGACTTTCACTACCCACTAAACAGATATCTGATACATTCACTGTAGCATTTTGCAACACACTAGAGCACTTTTATCCCTTCACTTACCAGCATGATGTTCACAGATTGAACCATCACCTCAACAAACGATTTCAAGGTATTAAAATGGAATCCAGGAGTTAGTAGGCGACGGTGCTGAAACCATCTGGGTCCACTCAAATTCACTAGTCCTTTTCCTTGAGAAATAAAAGGCACAAAACCATATGCCATTTTATTAGGTGAGATGGGGAAGGACAGGTGAGGAACACAGACATCATGGAGTGCCCATTGGTACACTGACAGTGGTGACACAGTGGAATGTCAAAGTAGTGCTCGTACATTAGGGATGAAGTGAGTTTTGATGCTTACACCTGGGATGGATGTATTTAGCACTGTAAGAAAGACCCTGAGTTTTGAAGCTGGATAAGCATGCTAATCCTGAAATCACCAGTTACTACCTGGTAGTAATTAAGTCATGTAACCTCCCTGGAGTTTGGTTTTCTCAATGAGAAACTGTGATAATAAATACCTACTTTACTGGGTCACTGTGCAGATTAAATAAAGGCATATACATAAGGCACCTAGCTTGGTCTCAGTAAAGGCACAACAAATATTTATCTCCTCTCTATTCCAAACCAATCCATAAACTGCTGTCTGAATACAAAATTCACAAGCAACTAGATAAGAGGTGTAAGTATGTCTTCGGCTATCCTGTCCTTCAGTGTTGGTCTGTGCTTCACATCTATAAGTGATACTAAGTGAAAAGACTCATCAAACCTAAGGGCTCATAATCTTATGTTACCAGAGAGGTAAAGATTTGGCTTTAAAAGGACCTTAAAGTTTATTAATATACAATTGCCGTCATTCATTGCGTGCTTATAACATGCCAGGCTTGCAATAGATACATGCTCCAACACTGATACAATGCCAGCCATTACACTAAAATGGCTAAAATGAAAATATGTGTTTCATTCAATCCTCACAATCGCCCAGAGATGTTACTCTCATCTTCATTTTCAAAGATGAGGAAACAGAGGTTTAGAGAAATTAGATGACTTCCCCAAGATCACTCAACTAGTAAGTAGGGATAGGGGAAGGGCAAATTCAAGTAATCTGAATCCAAAACCTATATTCTTTCATTTAATTCCTTCCTTGTCTAACATAAATGCCAATTATAGAACTAAAATGCTTAATTTGTCTGCTCATGGAATATTTTCAAATTGCAGTTTGAAGCAAAACTTTACTGATTTGCATATGGAAATACAGAAACTCCAAAAAGAAAGGGAAAGATCTGAGAAAACAAGAGAGAAGAAAGAATAAATAAAGAATGTGGATGGTAAGGCTGCAGTTTTAAAGACAAGAGATGGGACAGATTTACAGACAGGCTGTCTTGCAAATGAGACTTTGGCAGAGAAATTGATAAGGAGGGTTCCTAGGAAGTTGCACTGTGCTAACCTTAGGGCTTCCTCTTGACCTTCCCCCTAGAAAACTTGTAGTATAGATCTACCATATTCTCAATACTTTTGAACCCTAATTTGAGTTTTCTTGGCAAGCTCTTCTATACAAATGGGCTTCAATAAAGAGTGGGTCACCTCCTTCATTTGCACATACATACCAACACTTGGAATCATGAACCTATACAGGAAGTTGGACTTGGGATCTGCAGAGTCAAGCAAAGGAAACAAAAGACAACATTAGAGGAAAATCACCAAAGTTGGGGAAGGTTCTCTTCATTTGCCTAAACTAATCACAAACAGTGAGCAAAAGGGAGCCCGGGGCTCACTCCCTACAGCCCTTGACTGTCTTGGCTCAGGAAGCTGACAACAGCAGCTCCAGGAGGCAGACAGGTACACAAATCCAGATTCTTTCCTTGTTTCTGCTTCCTTCAGCAGAAACATAGATTGCCCAAAGGTTGCAAAGTGTCCAGAACAGGAGTTGGGACAATATATCACATCTTTTTTGGAAAGCAAATTAACTGTTAGAGCCAGGACCTGCAGAACCCTTTTAGGGTTCTCCTGAACTCTAACATGAGGGTGTTTTACAGCTCTTGTCCTTTACAAGATGAATATGAGACAAATCAGAACTGTGGGACTGGGAGACACGGAGGTTTTCAGTGAAAGGCTGTTTTTATCAGGTTTACTAAGAGTAAGGGAGGTAATGGGGCTTCCCAGGTGGTGCTAGTGGTAAAGAACACACCTGGCAATGCAGGAGACTTAAGAGACGTGGGTTCAATCCCTGGGTTGGGAAGATCCCCTGGAGAAGAACATGGCAACCCACTCTAGTATTCTTTCCTGGAGAATCCCATGGACAGAGGAGCCTGACAGGCTACAGTCCATGGGGTTGCAAAGAGTCGGACATGACTGAAGCGACTTAGCACATGCTTGCACGCAAAGGAGGTAATAGCACAAAAAAGCTGAGCCTATCATTAGCTTTATAAAGTTGGGAGAGCAAAAACTGGACATTTGAATTTTGTGGTATTAGACAGTCTACCCTGGGCACATTTCTCCTGAAGACTTTATACTCAAGAAAGGGGCTGAGATGGGGAGTATTACTGATGCTGAAGTCACAAAACCAAGAAAGGAAAGGAAGGCCCTGGAGATTTGATGGTATCTTCTAGGCTTTAAGATACATTGTCCTAAAACAGTCCATGGAAGTCTGAACAAGACGAGGGACAAGGGGGTCGTGGGAATCCCCATCAGGATTGGTGGGAAACCTCTCCACACTTCCGCCAGTGTCTCTTAAAGGCCCAGTACCAATCTTTGCTTCAGAATTCCTTTAGAATCCTGCCTGTGGGTTGTGTCATAATACTCCTAGGAGGATTAGGACCCTGAGATTCATCTCTTTTCTTACCTGTTCTGCTCAGAAATGTCTTTACATAGTCTGGATCATAGATATAGAAAAATGGCTGAAAGGGCCCAGCCCAGCGAGGAAACCCACAAGGGTATTTTTCTACAATCTTCTGAAGGTTCTCGATTTTATCATCTTTAAATAACTGCAATGAACAAGTGAAAGAAATGTAAGAAGTCAGCCAGTCTGGATTCATCCCTCTCTATAGACACAAGTTGAGCTCAGGTCCTGAATGAAGTTCCACAGGTAGAGGGGCTTGACGCTTTTTCTGGAGGTAAGTGAACACACTTTCCTTGGGATTTCTAAGCCTAAAGTATGATTTTCTAACCAAACAGTATATTCATCTTTTCAATATAATATATTGTATCACCAGACAATGTTCCTGTTGAATGATACATATTGTGAACTGTTTCTCCAAGTGAGAAGGTGCAGTGACTAGAGTCACGCACCCTGCCTCACCTGCCAGCATCACACACTTAGATTAGGAGTGGAGTCCAGAAGCTGAAAAAAAATGTTTTTAGGTGGGAAGGAAAAAACGTTAGTAGATTGAACATGACCCACCATCCAGCTCACCATTCCATTTCTATAAATACTGATGACTTATTTTTTCTCATGAGTTAATAGTAAATGCTCTCTAAAAATCTGCCAATTCCATCTGCAAAGAAAACCCAATTCTTTTCCCTTGTAATAGTAGAAGGCGCATTTATATAGGTGTGGAAATCTTGCTGCTGCTGCTGCTGCTAAGTCGCTTCAGTTGTGTCCGACACTGTGCGACCCCATAGATGGCAGCTCACCAGGCTCCCCTGTCCCTGGGATTCTCCAGGCAAAAACACTGGAGTGGGTTGCCATTTCTTTCTCCAATGCATGAAAGTGAAAAGTGAAAGTGAAGTCACTCAGTCATGTCCAACTCTTAGCGACCCCATGGACTGCAGCCTACCAGGCTCCTCCGTCCATGGGATTTGCCAGGCAAGAGTACTGGAGTGGCTTGCCATTGCCTTCTCCGGTGTAAATCTTGAAGCAAGCTCAAAAACAAAACTCTCAGCTTCCAACATTCATACATTAGTGTACAAATACTGCCATCAGAGATGAAATTCTTGCCTTGATAAGCAGATTACTATGGCTTATTTAAATAGTTCTTCTGAGGTAGGGAGGTAGGTGGTCCTTGGGCTGAGCCACTGGAGCTTGTCTCCTGCTGACATTTCAGAGAAAAGACAGGGGCAGAGAGGAGCTGAGCTCTGCTGGGACAAAAAGATAAGATGACAACATATTTTTGGAATCAAGAAGATCTTCTAGACCACACATGTGCAGAAAAGATCCTTAGGGGTCAGGGAAGGGAGGAGGCACCAATCCATAATATGTCCTGCCAACCTCGCAGAGACTCTTGCGTGAATCCATCTTGGCTAAAAGATATGCATGCACATCTGAAGGACCTTGAATCAGACCAGATAAGAGCAACAAGCAAGATGAATGGCCAGAGGAAATCTACAAGGTGACTGGCCAGAGGAAACCTGGAAAATCCACGCCCTCATATAAGCAATTTGTCACCCCCAAAGCATGACTCTATGAGCCCACCCATGTGTTCTTTTCACATGTACTCTGCTTCTAATAAATGCTTTACCCACCTTACTATCTTTTGGTCTATGATGAATTCTTTATTCAAAGAAGACAAGGACTGAGGTCCCATTTTAAGCCCACTGGCCCTCAGGGTCTAGTGATTAAAGATTCAACACTCTAACCACCATGACCCAGATTGGATTCTTGACCAAGGATCTAAGATCCTGCTTCAAGCTACTGCACCCTAGAGCCCCCCAAATTACTTCTAAATCCATGACAATAAGATCCATTTACATCTGTTGTATAAAGTGTGAAGGTAGAGAGGCACCTCTGTGTGTGTCTGGATGTGCCTAGCTATGCATTTGAGCACAATTGTGGGGGGCCTGACTTGCAAAGAAATCTTAAAAAATTTTTTTTAAAAAAATTTTTATTTATTTATTTAAATTTTTGGCTGTGCTGGGTCTTCATGGCTATATCCAAGATTTCTCTAGTTGCGGAGAGCAGGGGCTACTCTTCGTTGCAGTGTGCAGGCTTCTCATTATGATGCACTTGCTTCTCTTGTTGCAGAGCATGGGCTCTAGGGTGTGCAGACTTCAGTAGTTGTAGTACACGGGCTTAGTTAGCCCTCAGTATGTGGAATCATCCTAGAGGAGGGACTTCTCTTCTGCATTGTGTCCCCTGCATTGACAGGTAGACTCTTAACCATCATACCACCAGGGAAGTCCTGTAAAGAAATCTTAAAGCTGGCAAGTTCCTTCTTGTGTGACCAATCAGAATACGCTGTGTGACTGTGAAAATGTGGAAAACTCCAGCTCCCAATTTCCTGTTACCAGTTAGTAGCTCTAACCCATGAAATGGTCCCTGGATACTTTAGGGCCCCGAAAACATTTGAGACTCCTGAAATCTAGTTCCTGAAATACTGCAGACCCTGTTTTGCTAACATTCCCACAATCAAGCCAGTGATAAGAGCCCACTGACAGCACAAATGGAGTTTCCTAACAATGTAAATATTTATTCATTTGCAAACAATAAACAGATAAGTATTTATTAAGTGCCTATTATACGTGCCTGGCCACAGAGATGCAGAGAAATATAAAACAGGCAAGTTATTTGCCCTGGTGAAAATAGCAACTTAATATGAGTATTATTTTTTTATATTTGAAATTGTCATGGACATCCTCAGCCATGCTTTCTGGTTATACTTTTAGTAACTCTTGTCTGGACAAAAAAGAAAGAAGGCTATTGTGAATTCTGTAATATATGAATTTATATTTCTTCATCCACAAATGTAAACACATTTGAATTTAGTATCACATGTATTTAGGAAAGATACTCAGAAATGTTAAAAAAAAGCTTAGTCCCCTGAGATAGAGTAATTGCTAACATTTACCAAGCACTATGATGAGCTAGGTGCTGCTGTCGACAGAAAAAAAATTGCACAGCCTGAAAGTTGAGAATTATGTTTTATATGGTGGACAAAACTGAGAGACTGCTCTAAAGAGGTGAAGGAGAAGTCAGGGTATATAGGAGTTTTTACAACAAAGACAAGGTAGTCAAAACTTCAAAAGATTACAGTTAATTAAATAAAACCAGATATCTTAAGTTAAGGAATTTAGTGCTTTTCTATGCTTTATATTCTTTATTCTTTACATCAGGAACCCTATAAAGCAGATACAATTGCAATCCCATTTTACAGATGAGGAAATTGAGCCTTAGAGAAGTTAAGTAATCTCTTCCAGATTGTGTAAGAAGCGAAATTTGAAGTGGTCCATTTTCAGAATCAAGTAGCTGGCCTTGGGTGGAAAATTATTAACAAACGGTTTTCCATTCAGAGCTACTAGTTTTGTCTTGAAAATTACTGGCAAGCTAGTCTTGCCTAACAGCTTACACCTGAAGAGTCCCTAAGCTAACAGGATGTTTGAGAAGGGATAAACAAAAATCCTTGTTGAGAAATGTAAACTTAGGATGGGAAAGGAGAAGAAAGAATACCCTATGAGACTTGGGCAATTCTGGGAAGATTGTAACTGTATAGGACTCACCTAAAGAGGAACCAGGGAGGGATCTGCAAGCCAGGGAATAAGTGTTAGCTGTAACTGTCCCGGGTGTGCCTGCCCACCAGACACCCGATCTTGCAAGACTGTCATTATAAGTCTTGCTTTCACTGTGCTTCATGTCTCTCGAGTCCATCCCTTGGTTTTGGGCTGGTTGAGTGTGTTTCTCACAGACTATATAGCCAGCCACTAGTAGTAAGGATTCAAACTTGCACTGAATTATGGAGCCCAAGAACTACTTAGTTACACAGCCTTTCCCTGAATTATGTATAAGGATACACCCACAGCCCCCCCCGCCCCGAATAAACTAGGGGTGTTTACCTGCATAAACACTAGGTTCTCCACACTGACTGGCATACACTGATCTACTGAATAAATGTCAGTCTACCTAGTCGGTTCTTTATAGTCAACAGATCTTTGAATGAGTCAATTTATTTAGCATCTAATATATGTGTACATTCAACAAAGTAGCTTTTTAAAATTAAAGTATAGTTGATTTACAATGGTGTGTTAATTTCTGCTCTTTAGCCAAGTGACTCAGTTATATACACTTCCTTTTTTCTGTTCTTTTCCATTATAGTTTACCTTAGGATACTGAATATCATTCCCTGAGCTATACAGCAGTACCCTGTTGCTTATCCACTCTGTATGTAATAGTTTGCATGCACTAAACCCAAGCTTCCAGTCCATCCCTCCCCCATAGCAACCACAAGTCTATTCTCTATGTCTGAGTCTGTTTCTGTTTCATAGATAGGTTCATTTGTGTCATATTTTAGCTTCTACATACAAGTGATATCATATTTTATTGTCTTTCTCTTTTTGACTTACTTCACTTAGTACTGTAACAGGGAAGAGCAAAATCTGGTTCCATATTGGATCTGTTTCTTTTACTTTAACCTTTGCTTTCCAATTGCTTTTGTTACTATAATCACTAAAAGGATGATATCCATAGCTACCAGCATACATAACACCTGTCTCAGGGAACCCTGCCCTTCTGCCTGAATGTTAAACTAAAGTGCCTTTGTTGAGCTCACAGGCAAACAACTTGACCCCGCCCACCTGTGAACAGCTGCAGGAAAGAATAAAAATTTACACATCCCCTCCTGGGGCTGGCCAAAGTAGGAGATATTTTGCAAGACTTATGGCCTTTTTACTTTATTTCTTCACCTCCTCCCCATCTCTGTTCTATAAAAAAGATAAGTATCCAGACCTCTATAAGATGGGACTCTAGAACTCTAGTCAGCCAATCTTCTTGGACAGGCAGTTTTTCTACTACTCCTTGCCTCAGCGCCTCGCCTCCTGATTTATTGGCCTGTGTGTGGCGAGCAGACTGAGCTGGGACTCGGTATCAGTATGATAATCTCTCGTTCCATCTGTGTTGCTGCAAATGCCTTTATTTCATTCTTTTTTTTGTGGCTGAGTAACATCCTATTATATAATGTACCATATATTTTTTATCCATTCATCTGTTGATGAACAGATTGTTTCCATGTCTTGGCTATTGTGAATACTGCAGCTATGAACACAGGCATGCAATATC